CACCCATAGGGAGTGAGGAGGTGATCACAGGAAATAGTTTAGCAAGAATGGGCCCTCTTCTCACAATCAAAGATATTACCAGAAGCCCTTTCAATTTCTCTATGGCCAGGTGCTCTTGGAAGCCTCACAGCCCCCAGCCAAACCTGGGGTGCATACTCTCAGTGACTTCCCAGAGAAACTATTACACACATTACACCTTCACAATAGGGTATAATGAGATTCTATTAATTTAGCCTCTGTCATAGGCACCACGAAGTAAATATGGTGTCGTTTAAAAAGACAAGCCAGAAGAAACATTTACTAAAGGGGGAATACTGCTGGTTAGAGCCATTGTATCTTGGTCTGACATACTCAAAGGATGTGTCCATTTTGAGATCTGGTACATCACCTTTTTTAAAAGAGACTTGAAACTGGGAGGAATTAAAAAATGATCATCCAAAGAAAGTTTAAGCTTTGATTTTTTCACCTGGAAACTTAGCACATGTTCTGAAGCCAGCTTTGAAGGGTTATGGATATAAGCTTGTGTTGAATTTAGTGCCTCTTTGGTAGAAAAGCCTACTTGGAGGAGTCTATTAAGCCACAGTACATGGCCCTGAGTGCTGGGGAGGGGGGAGCCTGGCACTGTACCCTTGCTCCCCAGCACATGGCACAGGGAGAACCTATAGCATAGGCACCTTGCAGTTACCCACACATGGAATTTTGCTCACTGAACTGTGAAAATCGAGGACAGCTCCTTGGTCTTTACTCCCATAAGCAGAATGAAGCTCTCCCTCCAAGGGTGTTGGGTTGACCTTGAACAGTGCCCAGCAATTGTTCATTTACTGTCTCTCCCTGACTGGGCAGGGAGCCCTTGAGGGACAGACCATGTTATTCCTCTCTATGCTCCCAGCACAGGGTCTGCTAAGGAGCGAATGAATGGAGGAACAAATACATCTCTGACAGGTTTAAAATCAAAAAGTGTGTGTGTGTGTGTGTGTGTGTGTGTGTGTGTGTGTGTGTGAGTGTGTGTGCATGCACGTGAACATCCAACAGAGCTCCAAGCAATTCTCAAGGCTGTTACTTGAGACTCACCGGGACTGCTTGTTAATAATGGATATGTTCTGGTGCTACCTCAAAGCCACTGGATCACAAGTTCTGAGGCAGGGCTAGGAAATCTGAATTTTTAACGAAGCTCCCTGGGAGATTCTCATATACATAGAAGTTTAGGAATCCTTGCTCTAGATGAACGCTGCTGAGCTGGGATTCTCAGAATGCTCTGGGCTTTGAAGACCTAACAGCCAATTCGAGCCTGAGTTTCTGTCACATGTTTGGCAGAAGAAGGGTTTCCAGGTGAGAAAGCATTCTGAAATCTGCAGACCAGAGAGAGGTAATGACAGGGCCAGAACTCAGGGAATCAGAGGTGGCAGGACCCCTAGGCCATCAGTGTGTAGGTGGGGACACAGATCTCGTTCTCCAGTGTTCTCTGAGGAGGGTAGCTGGGAGGAGAGCTCCTTAGAAAATAAAAGAATGCTGGGCCCCAAGCTAAGCCAGATTCCTGATCTGGGATGCCTGGAAGAAATGTCTTCTTCAACACGCCAACCGGCAGCCACAGGCCCAGCTCCTAGGCGAGAGTGCATACTGAATCAATTGAAATTGAGTCATGGATATAATTAATTTAATGCGTTTAAACGATTTTCCGTATAGTAAACATGCTGAATGAGGGTGACCCAGAATAAAGTGTCTGCCTGAGAGTGGAAAAATGGATACCGTGTGTGCTGTATAATGAAAACCCTTCAGCAAATAGAAAATGCTTCAATTTATTTCTACCTCCTGTTCCTTTCCTAACTCTTTATTTATGGCTAAACTTGGCCTTCCGTGGTCTCCTTGGATCACAGGGACACTTTTTATTTTGTCAGAAGATGGCCTTTTTTCTCTGATCAGAAGACAATTTTAATGAAACCTGTCTACAGCCCAGTGACAAGCACATATTAATATGTGACAAAGGGGATAAGGAGGAAGGGAAAAAAACCCTGAAGAAATGTTTCACTATTACAATCTCTTTCTCAACTAACGGAGGACTTGTACAAGGAGGAGGGAGAGGGCATGGAGTATGGTTGGGGCAGGCCCATCGGAGCCACCATCCTGCCTGAATCAAACCTTCTTTCCGTGTGACTTTGAAACTCCCCCTCTGTACCTCAGATACTCATCCACAACCCAAAGGGGCTAAATCTGAGGATCTCTAAGATTGCTTTCAGTTCTGACATCTGCTGAATTATGAGTCACAAACCAGAGCCGGCAAAAATATGTGTCAAGGAATTTCCCATTAAAAAGAAACTCATCTTCAAGCTAGGTAAAGCATTTCAGGCAGCCTCGTCGAATTGCTCATCAAGTAGGGGTTACGTATTATTTGACAGCACTTAGGAGTAGTTATAAATGATTTCCACCTGAGGTGCATCAGGCATCTAGACAATACCCCGAGTTCTAGGATTATGAGAGGCTTCCTAGATTCTGTAGCTCTCTATCCGGCCATTTCAACTTGGGATGCTATGAATTCATTCTATAAAATAAGAAACAAAGTGTGACAATGACCTGAAAAAGTGTATCCACACTTTGAGACAGCTTCATCACAATGCGACCGGTGGGACCTCTGGCGAATCCCATCCCTCTCTAAGGACCAGTCTCTGAATTTGTAACATGGACAGAAAGGACTTCCGAGATATTTGGTGCTCTGTGGAGCCTTTCTGAGGGAGGGGTATCAGGGGCTGTGGGGCGGGACATGGAGGGGGCTGATCAGGCAGGGCTTTGGGCTCTTCTTCCATTCACTGGAGAATCTCCTTAATTTATCTTATACACCAGGCACTAGGTAAAATTTTATAACAAAAGGTTCTGAGGATAAAGAAAGAATTTTTGAAACCACTGGGCTAAGGAAAGTTGTTAAAGCTTCTAGTCTGAGTCTAGTCTAGACATGTCTTTTGCTGATGACTAATTAGAGCCTTTACTTCTAAACTGTGGAGCAGATGCCCAGGTCTCAGGTCAAGAGAGGCTCTATTCAGGAATGTAGAAATATCCTTCTTATAGCAAACCTCAATGCTCCCCAACGCCCAGAGCAGTGGTTCTCAAACTCTAGCGTGCATTAGAATCACCTGGAGGGTCTGTTAAACCACAAATGGCTGGACCCCAACCCTGGAGATTCTGATCCAGTGAGTCTGGGGTTAGGCTCAGGAATTTGCATTTCTAACCAGCTCCCAGGAGATGCTGGTACTACTGGTCAAGGCGCACTTGGAGAATCTCATTGGCCTTTAAGATAAAAGCCAGCCTCCTTAGCTTTTCCCTACAGAACTGGGCCCCAACTTACCTTCCCAGTCTCATCATCCTCCCGTCCAATATTCCCGACAAAGTAACCGTACCTGCTGCACGCGTGCATCTTTCCCGTGCTCACCATGCCCCATCTGGCCGGACCACCAGCCCCTCTCTGCATGTCTAAGGCACAGCTCAAATGCTGCCACTTCCAAAAAGCCTTCCATGACTATTTCATCAAAGGTCACAGAAATCCCTCTGGGCTCACACAGTCTCTCCTATGGTGCTGAGCACTTTTAACCTCTTCCTGTCATTTGAGTCCAGGTCTCAACCCTGCATCTGGACCACAGGCTCCAGGACAAGGAGCCCATTTTACTACCTTGGCGTCCACACCACAGTCTACACTCAGCACCTGCACAAGCCCTGGCCTGTCAGACCAACAAAGCAAGCCTGAGCGTACGCACAAAAGAACACGAACATGTAAGAAACACACAAATCATCTCATCTTATTTACTCCCAAGAGAGACTGATTCTCTAAATGACTCTTCAAATTAGAACAAAGGACAGCACTTTAGAGTCCATTTCAACCTATTCTTTAAGCAAATTTTCCTTATTTTCTGGGAGCAGAGTCAGTGACAAATACATCATCATGAGACATGAATAACTACCATTTATGGCCATTACCAGAAGGTAGTGTGATGCAGCAATTAAGAGCTAGACCCAGGTTCAAATCCCAGCTCTACCTCTGATTAGCTGTGGTACTTAAATGCTCTGAGCTTCAGGCTCCTCACATTTATGGGATGATAATAGCACCTACTTCCTACAGATGGCATATGGACGCAGTGAGACCATTATTAACTACAACCACCACTAGCATTTACTGAGTGCTTACCTGGGCCTAGCATTAGGCATACATCATCGAGCTAATCTACATAAAGTGTACCCACGTTTTGAGACAGCTTTGCCACAATGCTACTGGTGGGACCCCTGGCAAATCTCATCCCACTCTAAGGCTCAGTCTGTGAATTTGCACCATGGACAGAAAGGACTTCTGGGGTATTTGGTGCTCTGTGGAGCCTTTTTTGAGGGAGGGGTCTCAGGGGCTGTGGAGAGGGACATGGAGGGGGCTTAGCACATATCTAGCGCATAATGAGCATTCAAGAAATAACAGTGATTCTTATCACGGCTAATTTTCCTGATTTCCGCGCAAGACAGATATTATTATCCCCATTTCCCAGCTGAGAATCTTGAAGCTCAGAGCAAGTAGCTTGCTCAACAGACACTAGCAGTTTTTAATTTGTAACAGCTAATCTTTATGACTACTTTGCCAGGTAGGTATTATTCCCATTTTGGGGATGAAAACTCCGTGGTCTGAAGATGGAAACTTGAAAGTGAAGGCTCAGGATTTGAACCTGACTTTGGGTCTAGAGCTTCTGCTGGCCCACCCCACCCCTCCACCTGGTGGATTCCACCTGCTCTGTGTGCGGTCAACTCACTATGGCCTTTCTAATCCATGAGTTATAGAGAAGCAGTTTCTCAACATGTCAGAGAGCGTTACCGCATGTGCCCGTTTCAGCAGCCCTGCAATCGTAAAGCCCACAGGAAGTTATTTCAACAATTGAGGAAATGGACTGTATATCAGAGGGCCTGTGACACAGCCCCTCTTGCCTTGTATGTCTCTAAGGGGCACTAAGGAAAGCAGAGCCCGGGGGCCTGGGACTGACCGTGACCCCGAAGAAGTTGGTCTCGTTCATGGCGTTGAGGATGATCCTGCCCAGTGTGTGGTCCGTGTAGTTGAAGTCCTGGATCCGCTGGTGCCGGCTGCTGGCGTGCAGCGTCTCCATGGCCCTCTGCAGCGTCTTGGCGATGACCCAGATGCCATCGTAGGCGTACCCATGGAACTTGCTGGGCCCCACGCCTGACCGCTTGTTGTTGTACTCTCTCTCATACTGCTGTGGCGTCTGGAAAACAAGGAGACCAGGGGACACCAGGTTATAGCCAGCAGGATATCAGGCACACAGTGCTGAAAGCTGACACTCCCCAAAGCTTACTGTGAGCCAGGCACGGTGCTAGGCTCTTAAATGTGCATTATCTCATCTAATCCCCACAACAACCCTGTACGGTGGTACTATTCTTATCTCCATTTACTTACAGATGAGAAAATTGACTCAGGAAAGTCAACTTGCCTAGGCCCAAGTGAGTGGCGGGGCTGGCATCTGAACCCTGGCTGTCTGCCAAGACTAGGCTGAAGGAAAAATGCACTCTAACCAGGCCTCCCCCTGACATTTGCAGGGCCTAGAGCTAGAGCATCAGTGAAGGCCCACATACCATATGTCTAAATATTAAGTTACGGGCAAGCAAACCAATTGTTCAGTAAAATATTTTCTATCTTTCCATCATAACGGGTTAAAGGAAGGTAAATATACCTTCCTTAGGATCTGGAAGGCCAAGTTTGAATTCAGAAGTCTGGGGCCCCTCAGAGCTTCAGTCCGGACACAGCAGCACAGGGGGGCTGACCTTGCTCTGTGGTCCACCCACCCTCTTCTCTTCCCACCTGGCTCCACCCCACAGGCCAGCCAAGCTCAGTCCACACTTCCTCCCCCTTCCAGCATCAGTAGCCCCTTGACCACCCCAGAAGCTCAGTCCTCCCTAAAGAGGCTCTTTGGACCCTAGATGTGGTTCCAGGCATTTGGGCATGGAATTCAGGGCATGGCCTTAGGAGGGGGAAAGCGGTACAGGCTCCAGGTGGGCAGGGCCCCATGGCCTTGTGAATTCTGAACCCCATGGGGTCTGAGTGAGGTCCGCTTAGAGCATGGGGCCCAGGGCAGGTCCTAGTTGCCCAGGTGTAAGGTCTGTTCTGACCTCTACATTGTACCCTTCCCTTTCATCTTCCATAATATAGTAGGGTCTGTGAATAACTCAGCATTTTAAAAAAAGTATTTTTTTCTCCCATTGAGCTGACTTTCATAAAAGAATTTCATTGGTAATATTAACATTCTGATTGAGGCCACAAAGTAATGAAACTGCCTTTTTACTCTAGTCCCTGAGGCTTATAGATCCAAATGAATGCCGCTCCAGGGGAACCCATTACCCTCAGCCCTTCTGTGGGCTTTTTCTCAAATCCCTTCTAAACTTCCCTGCCAGAAATGTCATCAGAGCCCACAGCTTAGTCTTTGGAAGAACCCTCCTTGGGCACAAATCACACATAGAAACGATCAACTCACTGTCAGTGTATACCAGAAAAGGCCCTTAGTGATGGTCACACACGCCCCCTCAACCTGCAGTTGGAGACACAGAGAGGTCTAGAGATTTGACCAAGGTCACACAGTGTGTGTGTGTGTGTGTGTGTGTGTGTGTGTGTGTGTGTGTGTGTG